TGATGGCTACTCAAAGAAGAGGAGAAAAGGGAGGGAAAGCCCACAAATATTACATTTAAATTGATCAGAATACAGCTAATATTCCTTTCACTCAAATTGGACAGGCCTCATTTTGCAAGTCACACCTGTATCAAATGAAAAAGCTTATTATTTTTCAATAAAGATTGCTAAAAGGCAGTGGCAGGAGTCAGTTAAATGGAAAAATCTCCTGTCTTATTTATCCAGTGCTGCTATAACAGACATACCATATGCGGATCGTTTTAATAAGTATTTATTCTCTCAGAGTACAGGAAGCTTGGAAGTACGAATTCAAGGCGCCATTTCTAGGAGATGGTCCTTGTCTCTTTTCAACATCTGTGGGCTCACAGCACCTTGTAAATCTCCATGTGGCTTAGATCAATCTTGAATGCTGAGTCTTAGAAGGTTCTCAAAGCTGGAACCCAAAGTTAAAAGGACATGGTCTACTCCTGGCTCTTCTTTCTCAGAGGTACTGAAGTCCATCCTTCTTTGCTCCTTTCTCTTTTACTCTCTTGTAAGATAAAAGGTGAAGCAGATCACTTCAAAAGCAAATCCCTTTTATACAAGTGTAGGGCTGTGACTTTAGTAAGAGTGAGAACCTAAGGATAATGTGTCCCACCCTAATCCTGTCCTATGAACATTACAAATATAACCTAATTCTAACACAACCTAGTCTTGTCTCATTAAGCATAGATGTTTGGATTCACAATATATCACAAATTAGAGAATATGCATACTGGGAATCATGGCCTAACCAAGGTGATACATATTATAGGGTGGCAAAGCTCAATCCTTGATATCTTCTAATATGACCAATGAAAAGACTGCCATAGTGTAAGTTTATTTTTTTGAGAGGTAATGGTAAGGAGTTTCCCTGTCAAACTAGACGCATGCCTTTTGACTCCACCAATGGAAAAAAAAATAGGCAATCTCTTACTATGGGATTTATGGCTTCTGAAAACTCAATGGTGGGTCAGCCATGAGTTGGTTTCAACTCAGCAACAATGAGTTTGCGTTTTTAATGTTATTAAAGTAGTACCAGGGAGCTCTGGTGGACTAACGGCAAGAAGCTGCACTGCAATCCCAAAGGTGCATGTTTCAAATCCACCACCTGCTCTGCGAGGGAAAGATAAGCAATCTCCTTCCATGCAGTTAACTGCCTCTGAAAACCCACTGATGGGTCAGTTCAACTCAGTAGTACACAACAACAACAAAGTAGTACATTATACATTTGGATCTTTTCCAACTCTTTGAAGCTACTTCTTGTTGTAAGGTGCCATGAAGATGAGCATGACTCACAGTGATCCCATGTACACAGAACAAAACATCAGCTGGTCCTGCACTATCCTCACAACTGTTGCTGTTGGAGCCCATTGGTGCAGTCACTGTGTCAATCTGTCTCACTGATATTGCATAATCACTTGCTGCTGGTGATGAATTGATTCCAGCACATAGTGACCCTCCAAAGGGTTTCCAACTCTGTAAATTGTAAGAAGGGGAGACTGCCCATCCTTATCCCTTGGAGGCCTTGTGTATATGAACTGTCAGAGACCACAGTCTATGGCACAGATTATGCCACAGAACTCCAAGGCTATGTAAGGATATTCAAAATAGGTATACCTTCTTCCTATTTCTTGGTCACAGTACTGAAAGATCACACAGCCCCTTCTTTCTCTTCAACACAATCACCCACCCATCACTGAGTCTTAAACACTACTCTGTGTGTGTGCATACCATACCAGGTGCTAAGACTACTACCAACTTAAGGTTACCCAATTGACAGTTCCCATTAAAGAGGGAGACCACAAACTAGTACCTCACAGTTGCAAGAACTTCTTTCTGAATGTACACAACAAAAGCCACTCTAAAACAAGTTCTGAAATTCTTTTGCCTCAAGCAAAAGACTAACATCTAATTAAAGGACGAATATCTAACACACACCACTTTTTTTAACACTCAAAATATTCTTCTCTTTCTTTTTAAAATTAAATTCTTCATATGTATGTTCTTCAAATTTCTTTTTATTAACCAAGCAAGAAAAAAAGGATAAGGCAAATTAAGCAAAATGAAAATAATAAGAGAATTTTATTAAGAGTATAAAGAAGTTCATATGCACACCCATGTTTATTGCAGCTTTGTTCACAATAGCAAAGAGCTGGAAACAACTCAAGTACCCATCAAAAACGAATGGATAGAGAAGCTTTGGTGTATTCATGGAATACTATGCAGCATTGAAAAACAAGGAACTCATGGAGAGGACTTGAGGGGAGGGACTGCATAACAATGGAAGAGTTTTTCTTTTACTTTTCAAGGAGAAGAGTGAACTGGTTGGGAGAGGATGGGCAGAGAGAAAAATGCAACAATGAATGACTGGAAACGTTCTCTGTAAACGTTCATTAAAATTAATTTAAAAAAGAGTATAAAGAAGTTCAGTGTACTATTTTTACAACTTTTCTATAAATTTGAAAAATTATAATAAAATCAAGTCACCAAAAATCAGAATATTAATGTAGCAGAAGCTCCACAGTAGGTCTGTTTTGAGTTTCAAACAATTCACATCTTAGCTTATGCTGGATACTTAGTAAATACCCAGTAATTAATTCCTCTATAGTTTAAAAAATTAGTACATCAATTTGTTATTAAGCCAAGCATGGATAAATATACTAATGTTATTACACAGGAGTGTACACACAAAAAAAGATAGCAAAAACCATCAAGAATTTAAATGTACTCTGCTTATGAATATCTGCAGTGAAATATGAGTTCAATTTTTTTCTCAATAAGCAACAGTATCACACTCAATTGTAAACCTGTTAGAGTTTATAAAAAGCCCAGGGTCATTCTCTAGCTAAAATGATAGAAAAGTAGCCATTACTCCGCAACACACTAAAGTATTCCGTTTTAGTTTGACAAGAAGAATGATACAGTGCATGGCTACTGCTACTAATCATTCTGATCAAGGCACAACAGATTGACCATGACAGAACAGAAGAAAACATAGGACAGAAGGAAAATACAGGAAAGAACTCAAATTCTTAAAAAGACCAGATTTAAAAAAAAAAAAGACCAGATTTATTGAACCACTTGAGACTAGAGGACTTCTTGAAATCTTTGCCCTGAGATATTCATTGAGACTGGGACCAAAACTATCTGAAGTAACAGGCTGGCTCACAAAAGAACAGATAACATTTATGAGTATGGTGTTCCATTAAAAAACCATCTATATGAGACCAAAGGAGCTCTAGTAATTCTGTGGCTCAGGCATCCAGCTGCTATACACAAGGTCAGTGGTTCAAAAATCTCAAGACACTCCAGGGGACTCTCGCTACGAGTAACAAATAAAATGAAAATGCAGCACACATCCTTTGGGGTGAAAGACTCCTGAGCCAGTCAGACCTAGACCTAGATGAGAGTAACAGCAGTAGAGAACCAGAGATCAACAAAAGTCAGTGCTGACCTGGGACTGCTACCCCACAGAGTCAGAGCCAACAGTCTACCCTTGGGGAAGTGAGACAGGGGAGAGAGAAGACAACATAACTGGCAGATCAACTGGAGAAGCTGTCCTGACTGAGTAACTGTCTCCTGTTGCCACTCAGGACTATAACTTGCAAACTTCTCTTAAGGGAGTTCTGGTGGCCCAGTGGTAAGAAGGTGCATTGCTGACTAGAAGGGCATGCAGTTTGAGTCTGTCACTCTGTGGGAGAAAGATAGACACTGTTCTCTTATGAAATTTACAGAAAACCCACTGGAGGGTAAGCTATGAGTCAGTTCTGACTTGATGGCATACAACAACAACAACAACTTCAATAATAAATTCCATAAATGTGAGTATGATTCAGTGAATTGTGTGGCCATTCCAATAAGTATCAGACCCAATAGCAGAGCAGTAAGAGCCCTGAGAGGGATAGCTGATATTAGAATTTGTAGGAGTGTTGGAGACGTATGTAGCTTCATAGGAATTGGTTTTGGATGTTGCTGGTTTTGTAGATCCTTTGTGGATGTTGTTGATGGGGACAGTTCCCCTTTGTGAAGTGAGTGAAGGTCAGATGCCAGATGTCTTAGATTTTTTTTTAATAACCTCAGACACATCATTCTCAATTAGCTCTATCTTTAGCATATGTAAAACAGGAATAATAGTAATGCCTGCAAAGCCCTTTACAAAAGGGTCTGTCAAAAAAACCCATATATGGATTGCCACTGCCAGTCTACCAAGTCAGTTCCATCCCCTGGCAACCATAGAGTACAATTGTGCTCCAACAGGTTTTCAATAGCTGATATTTCAGAAGTAGATCACCAGACTTTTCTTCCTAGGTACCCATGGTGGAGTGAATCCTGCAATCTCTTGACTGGAAGCAGTGTGTGTTAACTATTTCCATCACCCATGGGTTCAACTCATGTGTTAGCTAAGTTTATGAGCTCTGATGACCTAGTCAGTAGAGAACTGCACTGCTAACCCAAATGCTCTGCATCTCTGGTGGGCTGCAGCAGAAGAGCTGATGAAGGGTTGCTTTGAGTCGGAACTGAATGAAAGCACCAATGATGTGGCAAGTGTGATTTCTGTTGTTGTAACAGGCAACAAAAGAAGGGCCTTTGCTTATACAGTGATCAAAGTATTCAGATGTTAACCAAAAGGTTGGTAGTTCAAATCCACCAGCCACTCTACAGAAGAATGACATTGCAGTCTGCTTCCATGAAGACTGACAGCCGTGGCAAGCCTGTGGGCAGTTCTATTTGGAATCTGAAGAGTTGTTGTGTGTTGGTATCAACTTGATGACAGGAGATATAGGAAGCAGAGTTTTTTTTGCTTCAAAAATTGAGAATAAATAAGAAAAAAAGAACTGCAAACACAGTTTATACTGGTTATATTGTGGATAGACTTTTCTGGTAAAGAAGAGTCCTAACACTGGAAAAGATTGTCTACGAAGGGTTATCTGTCATATTACCTCTTACGACTCAAGAAAACAGGTTAAATTTTTATCTACCTGGGATGATTTAAGTGGGATATTGACTGACGTTGCAGGATAAAGTAGAGGTCCTTTCAAGGTCTCTTCCCATCCAAAGAATCTACAATTAACCAGAGAAACAATTATGAACCACCTACTAATTCAAATCTGAAAATATAAACCAAAAAGACATTTTCAGAATGCTTAGCAAAAAAAAGGTAATAACCAAGGTAAAGTAATATTGGGTAAAATTCTATTTGATGAACAAATAAGGCTTAAATTTGCCATAGGAGTCCTTATTGATGAATAGCATCACTGAACTAAAATATAATAAATTTTCAAGTACTTTTAAAAACATCATCTGAGAAATTCACAGTAAGAACTCTGATTTAAAAAAAAAAAAAGAAAAGAACTGTGATTTAGCACATTATGGCCACAAACAGAAATGGCTCTTTTTCTTGACTGACTTTAAAATTCCTATTTATTTCTCGTTAATATCAAATGTCTAAAATAACATATTTAAAGGCACCAGCTATAAAACAATTGCATACAAAGATGGCACTTTTCATAGAGGAGTACAATCTACTGCCAATGCTGGCCCCAAAATGCCTAGACATGAAGGTGAGAGGCACATACATCTTTTCAAAACAACTGTTTCATACCAAAGTTACTCTTCAACTTGGTGAAGATTTTCAGATTAAGTCTTTAAAGTTTAACAACAAAAACAGTAATTTAAAAAAAAAAATCTATTGAATCGCTGGATCAATCTAGTCACCTTGGACTCCTGGCTGAACAGAAGTCAGGGAACAAACCCCACAGACTAAATATTATATCACTAGACTGGGTAGTGCTACTGAGGTAGCAGCTGAATCCAGAAAAAGTTACGATTCTAATTTATTCCTATATACGAATAGTCAATGTTTCAAATTTTACTAATCAAAATCTGTTATCTGCTTTTACAAATGCCTTCCACCTAATCTTTATCATTTAAAAACACTCATTAAGCAGCAGTAATTTAATACTTAGACAATTTGGAAATGGAACTATGTTGTGTATTTGAATGTTCACTAATACTTCCACATGATTTTCAATGGAACCCCCTTGTTGTTCAATGATTAGAACATCTGGCTAACTGAAAGGCTGGTGGTCCAAACTTGTCCAGTGATTACATGAAAGAAGAAACTTGGCGATGTGCTCCTGTAAAAGCTACCACCTAGGAAATACTGTGGGGATGTTCTACTCTGTTAAGTCAGAACTGACTTAGCAGGTGCTTACAGGATTCTCATGCAGAGTTTACATTTTTGTCCCAAGTAAATGATATGTTATCATTTGGCACAATCAAATGTATATAACCATTTATATTCTCAGCTAAATGTGAACACTTTAGAGTAAAACCCATTAAAACAAAATATTGGGACAGACTTTTCTCCCAAATTTCTTATTCTATTTAAAATTTTTACAGTATCTTAAAAATCAAGAAAATTCTTATTAATGTGGCTTTTATTCAAAATCACAAAACAGGAGGGGTAGTGGAGATGGTAGTAATTAATTGTTTTTTGAGTTGTTTCTTAGATTTTTTTAAATGATAAAAAATGTCATTACCAAGACATACTATTTATTTCTCATTAAAGCACTACTCTTAAATTCTACAGTACTCTAAAATTCTCCCCTTCTTTATTTCATTTCGTTAAATGGGTGACTTATTTATCGCTATATGAAACATCCCACACAAAGCTAAAGACTGCCTAGCAATTGAAATCCCACATAGCCCTGACTTGAATTTCATCCTCAATAAACTTCCCTGGTTCATTCTTTGCCTTTCTCTAAAATGAATTCTCAATATTCTTCAGCCACTGAAAGCAATTAAGCAGAACCCTGATTGATTAATGGGAACAAAAAGATTCTCATCTTCCTCCATCCCAACAATAGTGTGCTCTCCATTGAAAAAGAAAATGCTGTGGAAAAAGCACTCTTCCCAGTGCTTGTCAAGTACAAGCCTGCTCCACCACCAGTGCTAGCACACTGTATGGGCACAGTTACACTGTAAACAAATCCATTTCCCTATTATCATAGTAGGAAAATATACAAGATTTTTCAGCACTCAGCATTTAAGTTCCTATGATTCACACAAGAACAAAAATCAAAACAGACTTCAAAGTGGACCAGAAACCCGAATTAAAAACAATGAAATGTTGATACAAACTAAAACATTCTTTGACCAAAAAGGTTTCTGAAATTTCCCACTTTTAGGGACAAAAGAATTCAAAGTTTCAGTACGTAAGTCTCTTCTCAACAAAGAATTCATTCCCCCTCCCCCTTAACTGGCACCTTACTTTTTAGTTTTCAACCCTATCTCTAAATCCCTTTTCAACTCACCACCATGGTTTCTCCTCTTCTGCACCAAAGGCTCCCTACACTACAGCATTCGTGCCCAGACCCATCCAGACCTTCTGGAGCATCTCCCCACAACATGAATATCTGATTCCCACTCTTCTGCTCGCTTTACCAGGTCTAATCCATCAGAACTCCTCGAGCTCCCCTTAAGCCTCTTGCTCCCCACCTCATCCTTTGCATTCTGTGGCCCACCTCTCCTTTGCTCCTCACCATTTGCTTTTAGCCCTGTCTCCTCGCCTCAGTTTTCACCTGGGATGCTGCTTCTACAATTAGTGTAATTCCCAGTTACCCCTGTCCCAGAGGCCATCACTTCTTAGACTCTTCCTTTCTATTCTTCCAGCTTTTCTGGTCCCCCAATCTTCCCATTAATGTCTCATCTCCTATCACTATTTTCTTCCACCCCTCCTACGTTTTTATTCCTGGTTCCACCTGATTTTCGTCCACTCCCGTGTCTCATCCACCCTCCCTTACTTTCCAAAATTTATACCCACTGCCCACCCCCTAACCCATACCTTCCTCAGAAAAAACCGCCAGCAGTTGCCACCCCCTTGCTGGTCCTAGTCCTTCAGCTCATCTGGCTCTGCACTAGTTCACACCCTTGTCACGTCTGGCTCTTAATCACTCTCTCCCTACTCACAACTGTTACCCCAGGTCTGCCCCTCCTTGCCTTCCACTACCTTCTCTTACCCCAGCACCCCCCACCCCAATACCACCATCCCTTACAAAGCTCTCCCTTTCAAATCACTGCTCTTACACCTAATCCTAGGTCTCTCTCTCCCAGCCGTGGTCTTCCTCACCTCATTCCATGCCCCGCTTCCTTAACAGCCACCCAGGCTTTTGCCTTCTTCCTACCTCCACAGCTAGCTTTCTCTCACTCCTCCTGATTCTGGCTTCTAACCCTTTCTCCCCTTAATCCTCCTCATTTCATTCTTAGCCGGGTTCCCCCCAGCTGTCCCTAAACCTCCTTTCCCTTCTTGGCTTTTACCCTGAACCCAGTCGTCGTCCACCCCGCCAAAATGAAGCAC